GGCGAAAAGATGTTGTGGCTGTGTCTTCGGGTTCCAAAACAGTGTTTGCTAGTAGGCAATTTAGCTCTCGTTCTACATTCCTATATAATTTAATAAATAGATAATTAAACATATATGAGGAACGTACAAGGTGTGTAAAAACCTTATACTAAAATGGGTGCAGTCGAAAACATATGACGAAACTGAATTTCTAATGGAACGCAATTCATAACTCACTGTTCTTTACGATATATAACATAATAATACTTTCTCTACACACACACACACACACACACACACACACACACACACACACACATTCACACGCACGTGCACACACGTACATACATACACCCTCACACAAACACACACACACACACACACACACACACTCACACACACACACTTGCATACATGCACACATATACTTTTGTACTTTTTTAATTTTTGGTTATAAAAATAGAATAAATTAGTTTTCGTTATTTTTGGTTTGTTAAAATAGAGTAATTGGTCTGTCATTTTTGGTTTTGAGAATTAAAATGTATGTTTAGATAAGGAAGAGCGGGGTTTCCAAACACAAGCATTACTTGCTTAAATGGAGACCCCAATCAACTATCTAATTAATTTAAGTTTTGTGAAGAAAAATAAATTAAGTATTTTATTTATTTATTTTTATTCTCCACATATGGAGTCCACCTATCTTCATGAAGTGTAGAAATAATATCTAATTACGTAGTTCAGTAATATAAAATTATATTTATAGAAGAAGACGTCGTTCACGTGTCTCTCACCTGGAATCGCGTAACTTGAATCATACCTATGTAACTACATCGCAGAAGGGTTAGGTGGCTAGCCTTTTGCCTACACAATCCTAAACTCAATATCCTATTAATCGTGTTTTACTATGCTAGATTAGTTACACAGTTCACTACTATACAGTTGACACATATTTTTTTTGTTTTAAGTCCCACATCACCACGGGACAAGAATTCATTTCATTATTTTAAAATTCGTTAATCGCAACAGCCGTGTGTTTAAAATAGGCCATACTATATTCCAACTGGAATATGATTGTCCGATATAACTTTCACGAAACTTCGTTGTTATTGATTATTGCGGAGTTTACAACATGGCGAAAGATATATCATGATTAGGTGAAACTTTTAATTAAAACGAACTTATATACTCATACGAGTATCTATTTCTTCATCAGATTTAGACTGCAACATGGATGTATTTAAGTAAAGTTGGCCTGTATAAAATAAAGGAATTTAATGTAATCACTCTTTATTTATAAAACTGAAGTGACAAACGAAATTTCAGACCATGTAATGGTATGTGGGTACTGTAGTCCTTCAGTGAACTTTAAACAAAGAAAGTTACAGATGCGTAATGCGTAAATTAAGTGAATATCAATATATTTCCAACTATAATATACCAGTGCAAGCATTAGTGTTTGTAAGCAAAAATAGGTTAACCTACAAGTCGCGGCACGTAAGTCTAGCGCTGAAGGAAACGTGGAGGAGACGCGCTCGAATCGAATTGCACGAATGAGACGGGAGAGCTAATCAGCGTGTGCGAACGATACGCACAAGCCAATAAGCGTGACTTATGCACAATAAGCCAATCAGCGCTATTTATGCGCGATAACGGTCACCGTTAGACATTCGTGCCTATACTTATACCTAAAGAGATTTCTAGCTAAAAAAAGAGCACCTACCACCTAATAACGTTATATTGTTTTGCATAATTTTAAAACTTATAAGATACTTTACTGTGCTCATGTTCGCAGCCATTTGGAGTACGCCTTTCAAGCGTGGAAGCCAAATTATAACATTTATATAGATAGGATTGAGTAAGTACAAAAGCGTTTTCTATGTTTTCTGCAATTTGAGTCGCAATTTCGCACTCATAACTACATTTCGCGGTGTAAAAATTTTCATATTTTGCCTCTGTACGAACGTAGGCGCATAGCAGATATGATTTATCTTTTTAAACCAGTAAATGGTAATATTGACTGTACAGTCAAAATTTTTACCTATTTTGGTAGGGTTAGCACAGGAGGATAAAAATTAAGTAATAAAACGTTTATTCGCTTTTATTATATACTTAAGATAAAATAATTTTTAAAAAACTACTTTTTCTAAATATTTTATTTTTATCATTTTTTTTTCAGCAATTTGTTGTGCTTATTAATTAAATTGTAAATTATAATCTAATGTAAAGGTTTTTAAAATAATTTATTAGAAAGCACTCACATGGAACAACAAATATACAATCTTGCACGCGTTTTATAATATTTCAATACCAATATTTACCATATTTCTTTCGAGATTAAAATATTTTGAAAAATCAACTTAAAAAAAGCTAACTTCACTATGTACGCAATACAAAAATCGACTAAAATATTTACTATAATAATGGTGGCATTAATGTCTTGTACATGGCAACACTAGTCACCACTAGCGCCCTCTAGTGTCGATTAGCGGAACTAGGAGAGTCAAGATCCTTCTAGAAATTTCGGGACCGATATGTACTCGAACATTCTAGATGTCGCTACAGTAGAAGGTTCTGGAAACTATCTGAGTCTCTATATGAGGCCGGTATAGACCACGACCGAGTCGGTATTGAATTGGCCATACAAAAGAATACTTCGAAGCGAAACAACTGCGAACTCAAGTGATCAGTAGTACAACTGTGTTTTATTATTAGTGTGATTTTAAGTTGTAATTAGTGTTGTGTAATTAAAGTGTCAATTTTGGTAATTCACTCGGCAGTTTTTCATTATCTCGAACCTCAAGCTCGTAACAATTGGTGTCAAAAGAGGGGTCAAATATGCCGAATTTATCTGAAGACGACACTGAGGGTATCCGTACCCAAAGTCAACGCCAACAGGAGACGGACCAGAGACGATTTGGTGGTAGAACGTCACAGACGTCGGCGGGCCAAATACCGACCACGGAGGCCGGCCCGTCAGCAGCTCCTGCATCTGCAGCACCTGACTTAGGTGCTCTGATGACGATGCTGCAGGAACAGGCTCGCGACAGGAGGAACAGGCCCGCCGACAGGAGGAACAGGCCCGTCGGTTGGAAGAGCAGCTGCAGTGCGGACAGGAGGAACAGGCCCGCCAACAGGAGGAACAGGCCCGCCAACAGGAGGAACAGGCCCGCCAACAGGGGGAACAGGGCCGTCGATTGGAAGAGCAGCAGAAGAAGGACCTTCACGCTACCTTCGGGAAAGAGATAAGGGAGGTGAAGGATAAGGTTGCTCAATATGACAACCGCCTGTCGGAAGCTGAAACCCGAATTGACCAAGTGTACAATCGGGTTGACAACGTGATGGCTGACGTGAAGAAAACGTTGGACAACCTCAAACTTGAGGATGGAGTTACAGCTCCCGTGGTTGCTACAACACCTTCGCTACGTGGATTCAAAGTTCCGCCGTTCGACGGGACTTCTTCCTGGTCGGCCTACAAAATCCAATTCGTGGCTGTCATGAAGGCGAACGGCTGGAATAAAAGTCAGGCCATGACTGCTCTCACCCTAGGCCTGCGCGACCAGGCCTTAAATGTTCTGGAAGCTCTCGGTAAGGAAGTGACTTACGAGCAGCTCCTTGAGGCATTGGAGGCGAGATATGGCGACGCTCACCTGGAACACGTCTTTCGTGCACAGCTCAAAGATCGCGTGCAACGCAGTAACGAAAACCTTCAGCAGTGGGCCCTTGAGGTGGACAAGCTGGTTCGAAAAGCATACCAGTCTGTACCTGCGCTCATTGTAGGGAACCTGGTGCAGACATTCATCGACGGCATCCACGACCTTGAAGTCAACCTTTCGTCTGTCAGTCCTTGAAGAGCTGCTGTAAGGCTCGGGCACCACGAGACGTTTAAGGACGCCTTGACCCATGCACTGGAGGTGGAAGCTGTGCGGCAGGATCATCGTTCCCATCGCGTCAGAGAGGTTGCAGCAGCTACAGTTCAGGACCGCAATAACGGCTACAGCCCTAGAAGCTACGGCTGTGGGGAAAGGGGCCATTTTCGGTCCAGCTGCCCTAAGCAAACTGTAGAAAGAGAAGGTGATCGATCTCGAGAGGGTAGTGCGGCTAACAGCATCGCCCAGCTGCAGCAGGGCAACGAGTAAAAGCCAGGACTGCGGGGCGAGTGCTGGCTGATGTTAAAAGAGCCCCAAGGATTTCGATCTTACAAACCCTTGATGAGAACAGCCTAATCATTAAGGGCGCCGGTTAGACTTCCTCGGAATCCTGGGCAAACTCTTCGTTATGTACTCGTATAAAGGGTAGACAATGACCTTCCATGGAAAGTGGCTCGAACCTTGGTCAGAACCGCTGACATCTCAGCAGTACGTGTGCTGAACCTTTGTGATCAGGAACACGTTATAGAAAAAGGCACATTGGTTGGTACTAGTGAGGAAGTGCATTGGTTGCATCGGTGCCAATATCTATCGACTGTGACCCCCAGCAAGGATGGACAAACGAGAGTGACCACACTTTTAGAAGACTGTCGCAGCGTTTTTTCCCCGAATGAAATGGTCAAGGTGAAGAAGTTGTTACTCAAGTACGCCGATGTTTTCTCGTCAAACGAGGCTGACATAGGAAAGACTGGCTTAGTTCAATACAAAATAAACACAGGAGAAGAATTGCTTATCCGTCAGCGGCCAAGAAGATTGCCTGTAGCACGTGAAAAGGAAGTGGAAACCATGATTGAGGGAATAGTGAAGGATGGTGTTATTGAACCTTCATCTAGTCCATGGTGTTCACCTGTGGTGCTGGTAAAGAAGAAAGACGGCAGCATGCGGTTTTGTGTTGACTACCACCGTCTGAATGACGTTACGAAGAAGGACAGCTATCCCTTGCCAAGAATTGATGACACGCTGGACATGCTTACAGGCGTAAAGTGGTTTAGTACGCTGGACCTGAAAAGTGGCTACTGGTAGGTTGAAATTGACCCTAAGGACAAGTAGAAAACTGCATTCTCCACAGGAAAGGGTCTGTAGCAATTTAAAGTCATGCCGTTTGGATTGTGCAATGCTCCAGCAACGTTTGAAAGGTTGATGGAGCTTGTACTTATCGGGCTAATTGGAGATGCCTGTCTGGTCTACTTGGATGACATCATCATCGTAGGCGGTACGTTTGAGGAACACCTTCAAAACCTGGAACGCGTGCTCATGAAGATCCAGAGTGCTAACCTCAAGTTGAGTCCGAAGAAGTGCTCACTATTCAAACGGCAAGTTGGCTTTTTGGGGTGTGAAGTGTCGGAAGAAGGTATCCGCACGGACCCAGAGAAAATTGCCACTGTCAAGGATTGGTCGGTTCCAAAAGACAAGACACAGGTTAGAGCATTTTTGGGTTTGTGCTCTTATTATGGGCGATTTGTGAAGAACTTTGCAGATATAGTCATACCTCTGCAGAAGCTAACCGAGGAGAAGCGACATTTCTGCTGGGATGAAAGTTGTGATATTGCATTCCAGAAGTTGAAGAACCGTCTGTGCAAAACACCTATTTTGGGGTACCCTGATGCGGGCAAGGAATTTATATTGACACACACGCAAGTGATATAGGACTCGGCGGTGTGTTGTCTCAACGGAATGGTGATCAAGAGATTGTGATAGCATACTTCAGCAAGTCGTTGTCAAAGCCGGAAAGGAACTATTGTGTCACAAGACGGGAATTGCTTGCTGTGGTAAAGTACTTGCAGCATTTTAGCAAATATCTTCTGGGGCGGAAATTCCACTTAAGAACTGACCATGCTGCACGGAAATGGCCATTACAGTTCAAAAATCAGGAAGGACAAGTTGCGAGATGGATTGAACTACTGCAGGAATAGGACTTTGTGATCGAACATTGCAGCGGGAAATCTCATGGCAATGCAGATGCATTGTCAAGAAGACCTTGCCCTGAAGATTGCAAGCATTGTACTAGGCAAGAGGGTAAGGAAGTGGTATCTGTGAGGTTACTCCGGACAGACCAGCTCGGCAATGAGTGGAAGAACAGCCTACAACATGCACAGCAGGAAGATTCGGACATTAAGCCGATTCTGGAATGGATGAAGGCCAGTGCTCCTATGCCCAAGTGGAGCGACGTCTCAGCGATGAGTGCGACCACGAAAAGCCATTCGGCCCAATGGGACAGCTTGCTGATTCAGGATGGAGTTCTGTGCCGATAATGGTCGGTGAGACAGTTGTCTTTTGCAAATGGTTGTCCCTAAGGCTAAAGTACTGGATGTTCTACAGCTGTACCATAGTGGTTGTCCAGGAGGCCACCTGGGAGTTAACAAACTCTACTGAAGATCCGAGAACGGTTTTACTGGGTCCACTGTCGTGACGATGTCGAGGACTGGTGCCGCAAATGTACAAGTTGTGCGGCTGTAAAGGGACCTCAAATTCGTAGTAGAGGCGCATTGAAATTATACAATGTTGGTGCACCATGGGACAGGATAGCCATTGAAGTTGCGGGGCCGTCTCCGGAAAGTGAAAGTGGTAACAAGTATTTCATGGTTGTGATGGATTACTTTTCTAAGTGGCCAGAAATCTTCGCCATTCCAAATCAAGAAGCTTCAACAGTTGCAGATAAACTAGTTCATGAAGTCTTCTGTCGTTTTGGAGTACCTCTAGAGATTCACAGCGATCAAGGAAGGAATTTTGAGTCTCAAATATTCCAGGAAACTTGCCAAGTTATGGGTACTCATAAAACAAGAACAACTTCTTACCACCCACAATCTGATGGAATGGTAGAACGATTTAATCAGACATTGGAGAGGTACCTAGCAAAAGTTGTGGAAAAATGGCAACGAGACTGGGACAGGCACATACAACCGTTTTTGTTGTCATATCGAAGCGCTGTTCACGAAAGTACATCAGTGACAACAGGTTTCGCAAACTTTGGGAGAGAATTACGGCTGCCTGCAGACCTGATCACCGGAATACCACCTGACGCCCCACGCAGTATAACCGATTACGCAAATGACTTGCGGAACAAAATGAATGACATTTATGAGCACGTCAGACAGACGGGCCAGCAAACGTCTGAGAAGATGAAAACACGGTATAACCGCAAAATGAACAACAAAGGGTTTGACGAAGGTTCACTAGTGTGGTTACACAACCCAGTTCGCAGCAAAGGAAAATCAAGCTTCAAGCTAAATGTGACGGACAGTACCGGATTGTGACAAGGATCAATGACGTAACCTACCGGATACAGAAAGGTGCCAGAGGTTCTCCTAAGATCGTCCATGTGGATCGACTGGCGCGTTATTATGGGGCCAATAATGCTCGGGACGAGCATGTCTTAGGAGGGAGCAGTGTTGCGCGCCACCATTAATGCCTTGTACATGTCAACACTAGAGTCACCACTAGCGCCCTCTAGTGTTGAGTAGCAGAACTAGGAGAGTCAAGATCCTTCTAGAAATTTCGGGACCGATATGTACTCGAACATTCTAGATGTCGCTGCAGTGGAAGGTTCTGGAAAATATCTGAGTCCCTATATAAGGCCGGTATAGACCACGACCGAGTCAGTATTGAATTGGCGATACAAGAGAATACTTCGAAGCGAAACAACTGCGAACTCAAGTGATCAGTAGTTCATCTGTGTCAACTATGTCTTATTATTAGTGTGATTTTAAGTTGTAATTAGTGTTGTGTAATTAAAGTGCCAATTTTGGTAATTCACTCGGCAGTTTTTCATTATCTCGAACCTCAAGCTCGTAACAACATCAACTGTCAAAATGGCGTCGATAAAGCAGCGCCCTTTTGATCCTTTGTTATATGACTGACCGATGAAAAGCTATCGTATTACAATGCTTTCCATGCAAACAAGGCCGCAGTTTTTGAATTATAAGAAAGTGACCATATTAATCGGATGACTATATAACCCTCACGTACTACACTATCTCTCTTTACCCTTCAAACCATAGCACAGCAATGCACGCACTACTATTTGACGGTAAAAACCGGTAAGAGGATGGTGGACACAGGCGGACTCCTAAATATAAAAGAAGTCCTGCTACCTATTAAAGAAGTAGAAGGGTGGAAGTAAAGAAAAGCATGAATTGGTAGAGGAAGAACCATACGTCAAACTGTGCTGCCTGACACGTCTTTTTATCTTTAATTTCTTTCGTTCTTTCATTGATGTACCCACCTATGCTTTACAAATATCATTTATGTACGTTCATAATTACTATCGTTGGTCAAACCATAGACTCCGAATTAGGGCATCCATGATTTTTTCTGCCACCAGGGTGGTGCCACTAGAAAGTGAGTATAATATTTGACAGACTTCATAGCAGGGAAGTTAATTTGTTCGGAAAATGTAAAAGTTATTGTCTCTTTCTGTACTATTAGCTATATTTTTTATTAATAAGTTTAAAAAAAATAAACCAAACCGCAGATATTCATAAATGTAGAAAAATTAAAAAAAAATGTTAAAAATGTGCAAAAAATTAAAGAGCTGACGGATTGTTTTGTGTATTAATTTAATACTCTAGAGACTGATAAACTTTTATTAAAAACCAACTTCTGAATTAAATTACACTGTGTAACAAAAACTTTACCTTTGTGTCAACTAGCGACATCTGGTGAGCAGAAAATTATTAGCCCTCATTAACCACGTGTTCCGGTAGCGAATATCATACTCTAATCGACTGGGTACCACTATAATAGTTATACTAATAGCGACTTGTAGTGACTCCAGTAAAGTATCAAATTATAATAAATCATCCATTCTGATGTTAGAAATGAGTCTCATAATTATTTAAATAAAAGAATATAAGTGGGAAACAATTTTATGTTCTATCACAAATGGAACACAAGTCATGTATGCAAACCAACAGCAATACTGCCAACATTTTACGATGTGATACAGGACAGAGTCTCCGAAATATAACTTTAAATTTACCAAAGATATTAGGCCCCAACTTAAGCACTATGCTCAATGATCTCAATAGTGTTTCCCAACGGATAGGTCTTAAAATGAACATGGACAAAACAAAGATCACGTGTAACATACATGTCACACCTATGCCGGCAGTTGTTGGGAGTACTAAGCTCGAATTTGTTGACGAGTATGTTTACCTGGGACAAATAGTCTGACTAGGTAAATCCAACTTCGAATTCAACTCGTTGTCCGCGTTGGGGCGAATATAATACATTTTCTCGTCAAATATACCTCAAAACAGTTTTGTGCAACCAGTGCGTGTTGCCAATGATGACTTATGGATCTAAGATGTGGTCCTTCACTGCTGGCTGTATGAGGAAGCTTAAGGTCTCTAAGCAAGCTATGGAATTTCTCTGCGTGATAAACTTAGAAATGAGGATATCCGCAGTAGAACCAGAATAACTGATATAGCCCAACAGATTAGTAAGCTATAGCAATGGGCCGGCTTTATAGCTCGAAGAACCGACAACCGAATAGGAAGAAAGGTTCTCGCGTGGCAGCCTCGTACCAGTAGGCGAAGTGAGCACTGTCTGGAGTAATGGAGTAACGGCCTGGTAAGACATGCAGGAAGTTGATGGATGCAGGGGAATTGCTTGGGGGAAGCCCATGTTGAGCAGTGGACTTATGAAGGGCTGTAATGATGATGATGGGCATAATAGCGACAGTGAGACTCGTAGAATTTACCGATTAATTCGTCTTGATCACCTGCACGATATTTTATACTGCTAAACGAGTGGGAGATCATAGTTCTACTTTCACTTCTTCGTATTTTCTTTTATTTTCTAGCCTCATTCATCACACAAGTTTATTTCGTCTCGAAATTGTTATAAAATTGGCTTAGCAAAAATCGTCTTTAAGCATCCAAGAGATTGCAGCCATGTGGGATTTCCCTTGTGATGCAATTATGTGAGTGAACAAAGGAATTGGTGGATGTTGCTGTGTGACCCTACTTCACTTATTTGTGGTTTTGCGTAGCATTTGTCTTTACTCCATAACCTTTCAAAATGTGAGGTCTTTACCAGTCATATATATCTAAGCAAGAAGACTATACTTGAGATGTACTAATAATTCGACTGTATTTTGTTTTGGTTTTCCTTCATACTTTCGTCAATTGTGAAACGATAGTGATGCTTGTTTTCTACCGACTTCAAACAGGAGTAGGTATTCAATTTGACTGCATGTTTTTTTTATGTGTGTTACCTCATAACTTTTTTCTGGGTGAACCGATTTCGATGATTTTTAGGGTTCCGTACCTCGGAAGGAAAAAACGGAACCCTTATAGGATCACTTTGTTGTCCGTCTGTCTGTCTGTCAAGACCATTTTTCTCAGGAACGCGTGGAGGTATCAAGGTGAAATTCATATCAAATACTGAAGTCTACTGTCTTTTAGAGCTGTGAAAAAATTAAAAGATACAGCCGTTTATGCCGCAAATTTTCGACATTTGCAAGGGAATCAAAACCTACAGGGTACTTCCCGTGAACTCAGAATCTTGAAATTTGGTACGAAGCAACGTTTTATAGTACAGATAAAGGAAAAATTGCAAAAAACATAAATTTTTAGTTACATCATATAATAAAAATATTTTTAATAATTTTAAACTACGAGTATATACCTAAGGATTTGTTCGGA